TGTTTTACGGCTGGACTTCAGAATGAAGTTGCCTACGTATCCCAAAGATGGGAATCAAGCCTCACGTAGTTCGGGGGTAAGGTACGCTCGGGTATTAACCTCTCCTTTTTAGGCTCTAACTTTTGCCAAGGCGCCCGTTGCGGGTTTTCGACCTTGCGAGCTTTGTTCTTCTTTTTTCAATTTTTCTATCTTTTCATTTTTTTTCATTTTTTTTTTTTTTTGCTCTTTTCTTTGCATCTTTCTTTTTTGTTCTTTTGTTCTTTTTTTCTTCTTTTCATACTCTAACTTTTGCCTGGACCGCCCTTCCGGGTTTTCGGCCCAGCGAGCCTCTCAAACGGTAAAAGTGTGACAAGTCCATGCCAAATGGTTTTAGGATCTCGAAGCCATCTGTATCCTAAGAGAGTGGCTGTTGTATCGATTTGCAGAAGGATCCATCTTCGGCTCTTCGAGCACATCGGACATTTTCGCCCCTAGTTCGAGGGGTGTTTCTGTTCTAGCTTCGCAAGCTTCTTCTGATGAGATCTGATCTTCTTGACCTGACTTTCCTGGCCTCTTGTTCGAGGGCTGCTTCAAATCCGGCCACACAGGCCTCACATCATAGTTGACCGTTGAACCTTCTGAATTCAAGTTTTAAGGTTTGGAAGCAAAGGGGTTGAGTCTCGAGGCTGAGAGTGATCCTAGGCTGCACAATCTCAGGAGCGATTCCACACAAGTCTTCGTAGGACCGCGCAAAACATTTTGTTTTTGAAAATTTTTAAGAAAGCGACAAATCGCTCGCGCTAAAGATAATGTAGAACCAATCTGGATCAAGCCAGGATCCTTCCCAGTACTAACGCTAACAAGCATGATTTCATTCATTAAGGGCTTAGCACGCCTCTCTTTCTCTCAATTGATCAAAGTTTTGCAAATCCCGAGGAATTCCTTCCTCTTTGTTTTCACCGCGGTGTTCAAAAAGTTTTGAAAAACTTAGGTCAATGCAATGATTTCGGGGTGCAGAAGAGTAGGCGAAAAGTACTGCCGTTTCATTCAAACTTTCTGGCCCAACTGGCACAAAGCAGAAACGAGCACAAAGCATAAAAAAACCGCTGCTGTTTTATTCAAATCTGTTGGTACAACTGGCTCCAAGGCAGAAACAGACTCACAAGGAAGCGAAAAGACAGACGCAAAACAAAATAATGATATCCGAGGTAACACCCCCAGAATAATCCGACTTTTGTACAACAGGACTGACTCGATACAACAAGACAGACCCTACTGACTCAGTAAGAAAAGACTGACTCTGTACAAAACAACAAGACTGACCCAATACCGAAGTCAGACAATACAAAAACCAGCATTCACAAATGCTCAAAACAGTGCGTGCCATACACCATATCTGGAGTAAACTGAGCGTTGCCCGCAGGTGTTTCATCCCCCCAATCACATCACGTTATCCCCCAAGTTCACTGATCACGTGCCGATAGACTTCGCAGGACCTGGTGCGGGGATGACCCCGTTGTCAAATAGATCCTGTACTTCATGGCGAAGACGGAAGCAGGCGTCGGTAGTATGGCCAGTTTGTTGATGGTACACGCAGTACTGGGTAGTATCATGTGTAGCCGGAAGAGGGTTCGGGAGAGGCCGAGGCTCAAGGGGTTTGAGATGGCCTTGTCCAACAAGAATTTGGAGAGCTTTGGATAAAGGCATATAGAGGGCAT